CGCATATATACAGTATGTATGTAATAAAAATTAAATGCATACATATCTAAATAGTGTTTGTAGAAAAAATTTTAGAAATCGAAAAACAAAACCGAGTTCGGTTTAATATGAAGTTATTGAATTTTTAATTTTAGCTCTTGGAGAATAAACTGATGCCCGGTTGCACCAAGCAATTTTAAATTTATTAGCCTGACAAAACTTAAAATGGCAGAATTTTGTTAGAAAAATTTGTCATTTTAAAATTAAACAATTTTAGAATTATCGGGTACTTTTTCGGATCGGGTTCTTTGGTATCGATACTTTTAAGGATGGGTTATTTTTGAGAGTACTTAGTACTTTATTTAAATACTTATACACATGTGTAAAAAACTCACAAGCTGGCAGCTTTTTATTCAAATTAGTATATTAATCCCAAATTACGTCAAATGAGTGGTTAACTGTACTGAGTAAAAATTGAAAATTAAAAATTAAAAACTTCAAAATTATTGAAACTTGAAATTTAGTACATACAATCATTTCTGAATACCAGTAGATGTCAATGTAACTCAGTACTTTTATGTATCTATTCGACACTCAATACTGAGTACTTTGAAACGATCCTGAGTGCAAGTAACAAGGTGAGGATTAGAACAGAGTATTTTTGAGTACTTTTGAGTTATTTTGTGAGTACTGAATACCATTTAATACTCAGTATCGATACTTTTGAAAATCAGGTACTGTCGATCCTTTTAAGAATCGAGTTCTGATATCGATACTGGCTACCACTTGTTTTGACTTAAGTATTTGACGACAAATTCTATTGAATTTTACATTTTCCTAATTCGGATGTTTCACAGACCAGTGACCGAAACCAGGTCTTACGGACCTACGGAGTGGTATCTAGTACCAGTGATGCCAATTTAGCTATTTTCTGGCTAGATTTAAATTTTTTTATTTCGGTTTGGCCAGAAAAGTCCGTTTAGCTTATAGCTTTTTTACCACAAAATTAAAATTGCTTTTTTTTAAAGCGTTTGAAGAAAAATATAGCTATTCGGACATGTTCGCACATATATCTACGTGCAAAATAATAGCAGGGTGGCATTTTGACCAGTTTTGACTATTCTTCTTTACATTGATTAATTTTTATTAATTTCATACAATGGCCCTTTTTCAAATCTATAATGTAATATATGATTGCTTGTAATATATTAACATATTATGAAACATTCCTGTAATTTTCTAATGTGTCAAAATTATGTGAATTGTTCCTAAAGTGCATCTCACAAAAATTAAAAAAAAAAAAATTTAAATATTCCTTGTTCGCCTAGTCTAACGATTTATATACATACTAGTTCTATAGTTTTATAGTGTAAGCTAAAGGCGACATGCAGTTAGCTTAATGTACGCCAAATTTCATATCTTATCTTTGCTATTTTCCATATTTCTCTTTTCCGAAGTGCGTATAGAAAATTGTAGCTAAATCGGAATGCGTTTACTAGTTTTAGTCAATATTCGTATGTACTTGATTAAGTCTATTCACGGCTTTCATTTAAAATTAATAAGTAAGTGAAAATATATATTACAGTTAAACTAAAATATATTCTCTGGTGGGGTGGACATAGGAAATAAAAAAACAACATCAATCTTAAATACTTTTGCTTTCGTCACTGCATCAGTTTCGACGAGTAAATTTGTCGAATTCCATTTGGCTGGATAGTCGGGCAAATCTGATAAATCTAATAAATTCATTGTATTTAATTCCAGTATTACTCCGTAAATGAGTTGAAATATAACACCAAAACCAAATATATCGTACGATTTCCAGCTCAAAATCGATTTGAGAAAGTAGTGGAAACCAAAGCGGCCCTTATGCGATTTTTTTATTTTAGAAAATTTAAAATTCCCTACTTGGCAAAAGAGAGCTTTTTTATCCAATGCCAGCGTGGTTAGATTGCGTGCCTATGAAGTGGCTAACTGTGGCTTAGTTCCATTTCGAACTCTGATTTTCCAAAAATTTTAGGAAAGTACCAAATTTTTAATAAATAAACGAAGGCTCGAAGTAGCGAACCCTATTATTTATGAAGAAAAATAAACAAAAGCCGGCGGCAAAAAGGGCAAATGGATTTGGGAAACTGAAAGCTTTAAATGAAGCAAAGTTCCTGCCTAAATTCAACTTTTTATTAGTTAAACTCTGCTGATATAATTTTTAAATGTTAATAAAGTGGGTACGTAACGCAAATTCGGTATTCAAAAATTTTAAATGCCAATTTTGCAATGCCTCTTTACTTTCTAACTTATGTTTCTCCCGGAAAAAAAATTAAAGTGAGAATTACAACTAAAATTAAAAATAATTAAAATTGAAAAAATATAGAAAAACCCAAAGCAAAAATAAACTAAAAATTAGAAACTATATTTTCAAGAGTTTTAAAAAAGTTTACAAAAGTTGAATTAAAGTAAAAACATATAAATTAAAAAAAAAACTAAAAAATGCATGCAAATAAAAATAAATTATAATAAAACAAATGGAAAGCAACATAAACTCAAAATTAAAATTAAAAATTAAATAGAAATAGAAATGGAAATAGAAATACAAATAAAAAATAATAAATAATTATTTATGAGTAAGCTATAAAGTTATTATTTTTATAAAATACTGAAAAACTGCTGTTCCCAGCTGGCACTGGCATCCATTTCCACCTTTGGGATTGGCCCAAGAGGAGCTATGTAGACATTTTAACAGAAAAATCAGGAGTGAAAAAAGCTATGTATATCAGCAGACATAGCGCACAAAGTGCGATTTTAAATTAAAGTATTTAAAAGGAAGAAAAACCAGAAATTGAAAAATTGAGTTTAAGCTTCGACTCGATTTTTGCGAGTAATTCACTTCATCAGTGCAAAAATGTTGCCTTCACTTTTTATGCATGAATCGCAGCGTGTTTTTTGGACACAACGGGTTAAGGTGGTTGCTCTAAACAGGGGCACACTTGGACCATAATCAGCATTAGTCCTTTGAGATACCAGTACACACGGCAAGTGCTAAGCTATACCTAACGAAAACCGTTGAGTGCCAATTTATAGAATTCGTTATGATATTTAATCTCGGCGCGTGGAGGATATACATCGAGCATTGGCATGTCAATACACCTATGTAACACTATTGGAAATTGCGACTTTGTGGCCCCAAGAAGATAAGACATAAACTCGATGGCGCAACGCCGAAACCGGTTTGTCTGCAAACCAAACTTCCAAACTAAATCAAGATAAGATTCCGTCACAACTCAAAATGCGTTGGTGCTTTAGTCAAAGGACTTTTGGTGTAAGACTTACGTTATACATTTTCCAACTTTGAGGAAATAAAATAATAATCCATATCGCCGTTTAAAGTACAAAACCGCGTATCTACATTTTTTGCCAAAAATTGGATCTGCTCACCGAATCGATTGGTTCAAACCTTCCATTTCCATTCGTTCTGAAATATACTAGCCAGAAATCCGATTGCTTTATAAAAGAGAGAACAATTTTTCAAATATGAGTGTTTTTGCTCTCTAGAAAATAATTTATGCAACCTCTCATAGGCGGTTTTGCATTTTTTTGTATACGCGGTTTTGTTCTTTAATCAACGATAAGCGCAGTTGTTTATGATTTTTTAAATCAAACTAAAAAATATCATAAGAAATTAAGAAATCACTAGGTAAAAAGGAGTATCGCTAATTTCAGAAAAAAAATATACTTTTAAAAGCCCAAAACTATATTTTTTACAAATGGCCGATAACCTCAAATATTTTTAAACGGTGTATAAAATTTTGATATCAAAATAATTTTTTCCGTTACCAAAAATTCTACTCACAGCTACTCACTGATATTTTTAGCAATTTAAAACCAAATTTACAATCTTTAATTAAATTTAAATTTTGGTTTCGACCAAAAACCTGTTTCAGTCTTGTGTTATATTCTAAAAATCTCAAGGTGAAAAAATCGAAATTTTATCTCAGTTGAAAATGGTTTTAGAATGACATGTTTTTCTCTATGGAGACGTATAAGTTGAAGTTGACAAATTTTATAAATCTCTTTTCGAAAGTCGAAAACAAAAATTGAAGCTTTATGTATCGAGAAATGCAACCGACTGCAGAAGTTTGCGTTGTCTTAGAATTCCTAAAAAAAAAAAAACATAAAAAAACGCAGCAACTGTTTCAAAATTTGTGAATTGGGAAGTGAAAACCCAAAGAATCGGGGTTCAAAAAATACTACATTTAATACATTTGAACAATTACATAGATAGTTAAATGGTGGCGGCTAAGATGAAAAGTTTAGATATCTAACTACTGAAAAATTCTAAATTGAAAAATCTATTTCATAGAAGCATAGGTAAACAAGTAAAATTCTCGTGCTAAAATTTTAATGTTTCCGAAGCCTTTTTCATTGCGATGCCCTTTTATAGATTAAAAATTATACGTAGTATGTAGCAAAAAAAAAATTTATTTATTTTTTTATTTTTTATTTTTTTTTTTACAGTAGATCTAATTTAATTTTTGTTTTTAAGAATCAGCAGCAATCTAAATGGAAAATTATTTTTTATTTTACCATCTTTCACTTGAATAACTTTCGTGTATTCGAATTAATTAAATGTACAAGACATTTCGTAACATGCTTTTCATAGCGACAAAAAAAAGTTTTGGCTACGGCATCGCATGTGCACTGCTGGTTAACCCTATAAAATCATAGAGAGCAAGTAGACAAAAAAAATTATTAAAAACTACATATTTTGATTTGCCACTCACGTCTACAAAAAAAATTAGTAAACAAAAATAGCTTAAGTTTTCATAAATCCCACTTAAAAAAAATAATAATTTTTCCAACACGCTCGCTGATTTGCCACACTTTCCATTTTAAAACAAGTTTGCTTGCCACTCTAATTGATAATTCACAATTAAATTTTTATTCAGGCACCGCTTTTTATTTGACTCCTATTTTTCTACTCGTTTTTTTAAGTATCTACAAATTTAAAATTTCAACACACTCACCTTTTTCAGCGCTACGCGCACGATCTTTCAGCTGTTTGACGATTCCATATTTAACGGTGCCAAATTGTATCATTTTATTGATCGTTTCTTGATGATTATCTTTGAAATCACTACGCATTTCACACAAAACAGTTGATATATGATTTTTCATTTAAAAAATATGTATATATATGTATTTTATTTTTAAGCCTAGCATCCAGCTCGAACGGGAAATCTCAATATTTTATTTGTGAAATTTTTTCTAAAATTATAAGCGAAATTTCAGCTACGGAGTTGATTTTTGCTTACACAATTTGCTTTAATTGTAGGTATGCTGTTGTTACGATTTGTTTTACAAAATGATTTCCAGCACACAAAATTTAAACGCAGACGATTTCATTTGCCATTACAAGTCTGATTTAGTTTTTCGCAAACCGCGTTTTTGAATGCGACTGGAAGGCGTAGCTTCTTGTTGCGGCGATGTGTATTAGGCGCGACATTGACACGTTGAGTGTTTTTTTTTTTTTGTAGGTGAGATAAAATTGGTAAAAATTTAAGCGCGCTTCTCCAATTGCTTGTTGCTAGTTAAGCGCGGGTGTAGTACCAAATTTTAAATTTTTTTAATTTTAATTTTTAATATTTTTTTTTTAAATTGGAAAAATTTTTTAAAGCTGCATTTTTTTTTATTTGTAGTATGCAGTAAATACTCGTTTTAGGAGATTTAAAAAAAAATCGCGAATTTTCCTTTATTAATTTTTATAATTTTTTTTTTTTAGAATTTAGACAGTCGCGTGAGCCTTGCGCTTTTTGTATTAACCGCCGGCGTTTAGTATGTGATATAGGTAGTAGGTACCGTTTTAATGTTGTTGATTGCTCACACGCTCGGTTGTTCGATTGTTCGCTGGCTAGAGTTGCTCGCTTGCTGGCCTAGCTGCTACCTTGTTGTTTACGCTACACGCTACCGTCATCAACTGTCATCATCATATTCATTTAAACTTTAATAATGCTCGCCACCGCTCATAATGTGTAATATCAATAAATTCGTAGCTACATACGTCGCTGCTGTTGCTTTCAATTACAAACAACAACAACTGTTTTTATTTTACATGTGTGTGTGTGTGTTTGTTGTTGTTGTGGGTATTGCTGCTATTTTTGCTTTTTGTTGCAGCTTTTCTTTTTTTTTTCTTGCTCCAACGCTGATGATGAAAAATTGTATTGCCGTTGCGTCGCTGCTGCGCTGCTTACTGCGCTGCTGCTAGCTTCTCCTGCTGCCTGGCTATGCGCCTCTGGTTCTGACTTTTAAGCGCTACTCCTATTATACACACACTCACGCACGCGCCTACATAAACGCATGTGTGTGAGCGCAAGCAATGCCTATTTTTTTTTTGATACTTTTGTAAAGCTAACTGCGGGCGCTGCTGCTGCCGTCGCATGCAAGGCTGTTGCTATTGCCGGCAATTTTTTGAAGCTGCTCAACTCCTACACTTAGAAATTTAAACAATTTTTCGTTTTTCTTTCATCAAGCTTTACTTTATTACGTAAATTTTAAGCTTAAGTCGCTGTCTTAGGCCTTTATTGCTTTCTACTCAGCTGGGAGTTTTTTTTTGTTTTACCGTCGGCAATGTATTTACACACACTTTATGTCTTTTAAATCACTCGCCATTGCGCTGTGTCTTGTGTCTGCTCGCTTCTTCGCAAAACAAAAAAAAAAAATATATTTTTATTTTTTTCCTTTTCAATCCATTAATTCACACTTTCATCGACAAGTCAATTTATGTAATTCTATCAATCATTTATCAATCCGCGCATCGACTAGCCAGCCACCTCGTTCGTAGGTAGGTATTCACTCGAAACGTTGGACGCAACACGTAGTACTTAGAAAGTATTGCTGCTTTACGTTCGATACAAAACTTTTTTTTTCTTTCCGCTGTTCTTTTTCGTATTACACGCGAAAAAACACCTCATTCAACATCTAGCAAACTCTCCGTACCACACTACGAGCGTACGAACATTCAGCACGCGCGTCAAAATAGCACTGACACAAACAATAATAATCGAGCGACCAAAAAGTCACTCAAACAAAAATATACAAAATTGTACAACGCAGCGTGCGCTGACGTCCATAAGAAAGTCTCATACAACAGCCATACATATATAGTGCCAGCAGCGCAGCTAACGTCGCTGACTTCATACAGTTTATTGCCTGTTCGGAAACAGATCAGTCCAAAAACGAGTCTTATTGTTGCCTATTATGTGTACATATACTGCATCATTTAAACGTCAATGCGCGTACACACACACACACACACACACACGCACTTGCAGTACCTTTGCTCACCTTTGTTGCTGCGTCACTCATTGACAGCACTGCGCTCACGTTGCTGCTGTGCTTACTTTGCAACATTTTTATTATTACATACTACTTACTTACTTTTTTACTACTACCTCAATGCCGCCCATTCGTTTGTGTGGGTAGGTAGATGGTGTATGAAGCAAGCATTTAACTCCGCATTTCCACTCAGCCCACCAACACACACACCCAATGTGGCTCCCAAAAAATCACTCTCACCATCGCTCATTCGCACTCAGCCGCTCGCTCTCTAATCCAATTTTTATTCATATTCATTCACCTCACACTTGCATATTTCGCTACATGTTTCAATAATATTTTTCATATTCGCTTACTCTTTTTACCCAATACGCACGACGGCGGCACACAAAGCTAGTGCTGGCGCTGATGCTGGTGCTGATGGTGGTGGTGGTGGTGGTACACACACTATCTCTCGCTTAATACTGAGGCCGCATTCATTCATTGCTTGCTGTTGTTGGCGCTGTGTTCTCTACCATCGTCATATTTTTATTTCTATAATTCCCGTTCTCCAAACACATACCCATACACACACTTGCGCTTACTCTACTCAACGCGTACTTGTGTTTTGTTGTTGCTACAAATATTTTTCATAAAGCACTACTGTTGCTCCATTCACTCTCGCATACCACCAGTGCAACTGTTAAGCATGCGCGCTCCTTCACACACATCGATACATTGCTGGCTGGCTGTGTGCATGGCTGTTTGTTGTAGAAAACCAAGCCGACGGCAATCAGTCAAGTCAGAGTCAGCAGCCTGCCAAAGCAACAACACAACATTTCGCTCACACCCACCACCTTTTGTTAATGTAGTTTTGTTATTGTTGCTCTCTCTCTCTCTATAAAAAAGAACTATCAGCAGTATGTGCAAAATAAAAAAATCAAGAGCAGCTAAAACAACAACAGCTGCATTGCACGACAAGTTCATTCGTTTAACAGCATTTACCTGTACTCGGCGGGCGCTGTTACTGCGCTGTAGCTGTAGACAGTTGTTGTTAGCATCGGCGCTGCTGCCTCGCCTACATTTATGATTTTCATTGTAAATTATGAGTCGGAGCAGGCAGTGGCAGCGCTGTATATACATATCTTTTTGTATGTAACCACTTTGTTGTTTTATCTATGTACTAACCTCAGTGCTGCTCTATAGCTCTCCATTACGCGTATTTCCTTCCGCAACATTATCTACTCAGCCGTTTTCTGTTGTACCTGGCGCAGTTGTTGATTTTTTTTCTCGCTGTTACTTTTGCTCATTTGGATTGGTGTTACTTGGCTTTATTTGCGCTTGCAATCGCATACTCTCTGCTCCATGCCCATCCACTTATTTTAAAAAATGTTTACAACTGCATACAACAAAAGTACATATTGCAAATTTTTGCTCAGTACCCTCAATGTGTTTAGCTCTTACTGGATCTGCTGTTGTTGTTTGTGCAGATGAGGGTAGCCAACTCGTGGGGAATTCACCGATTTGAGGAGCATTTGGGTTTTGAGTGGGGCATGGACTGTTTTTTGGAGGGAAGGAGGGAGGAAATTTCAGGGAGATGAACTGCTTTTTGTTGGGAATTAGGTGTTAACTATTTATTCTTTTTTGCTTCACTGATTTCATAATGAGGTAAAAAAAACACATAAGAAATGCAACTGCAACTAAAAGTACTGATTATGCAATCATGCAAATTACACAAATTACCGTTGATTTAAAAAATTTCTATGTCGCCCATGCGTTCATAGGTATAACGAATAAACACACCTTTTTATGTGGAAGAAAACCGCAACACTTTCGGAAAAAAAAATTTAAAACGAAAATTTTTAGCCACATGAAACTTGCACTTACTAGCATGGAGTGTGCCACAAAACTGCATACTCAAAATCTTTATAGAAAATCTCATTAAAAAGCTCGAAATTTTTACTAAAGTTTGTAGAATTTATTTTTTTTTTAATAGATATGTATTACATAAAGTTTGAAACTTGTATTTATAGATACGGTTTTTTGTTATAGAATTAACGATATCGACCCCTTTGTGCAAAAGCATCGTACGTTAAATTTTTTACGAAATTCACTTTTTGATGCAAGTTTTTTCTACACCCCATAACGCATCACCTGTTCAAATAGCACAGCATAAATCCCAATAGCTACCCAAAAAATTGACTGTAAATTTTATCGTATGTGACAATGAATTTTGTCTTCTGGGCGAAATTATCGCATGTATTTGCTAAGAAATTAGAATGTGAAAACCTTTCTACAAAGAAAAAATTATGCGTTTAGTTATATTTCTGAATTATCTCAGCAAATCTAAACTTTAGTATTGCTGGTGCTAGCCAACGCAGAGAAATATACAAAGAACACTTTCCTGAAAAATTTGGTTTTTGTAACATACGATAATTTTGCGCAAGGGGTCGACATTTTTATAAAAAAAAATAAATCAAATTATTAACAAAAAAATACAATTGTGATAACTTGTCAACATTTGGCGCGACTAAAACTCTGATAAGTAAATTTGTTTCTTTATTTGTTAGCTAACTTCATAAAAAGTTTGGTTTGTTCTATGAATTCATACATAGCCGAATTACATTAAAGTAAAAACCGACAGACCAGCAATAAATACACACAATTTTTTATTTTTTTTTGTAAATAAGAAGATATCCAAGGGTGGGGTATTTTACGAAATTTCCGGCAAAATCGGCGAATTTCATTGCCGAAATCGGAGAATTCTCAAAAATGAGTTGGCTAGCCTGGCGCAGATAAATGTTGTTGCTATTACACCTGATGGTGGTGTTTGAGTCGCGCAGCAGCGCTTTATGAATATCTACAATTGTCGACATTGCTTCATATTCGTGTTTGCTCTTTTGCACTGCGTTCATATTGCTCTATGTACAGTGTGGCGAAAGTGGCATTGTTGTAAAATGTTGGATTTTAAACCATGGAACATTTGCAAAAAAGAAAGGTGGCTTTGCAGACCTGTATAAGTATGATAGACATTTTATTTTATTATATTATATATTGTTTATAAATGAGTTATATTTCTATAAATCATATGTTTTGAGTTAAATATTTTTGATTTGGATTTGAAAGCTAATGTAATTGCCTTTAACGGAAAAATATTGCCATTGAGCCACAATCACTCCCTGACCTTAAAAAAATTGTGTTCTTCGAAAAAATGCAAAATCCAACGGATATATTAAAAAAATAAAAAAAATTGTATTTTTAATTTACTAATATTACAGATTTTGAGACGAGAAAAACGAGTCCACTGTTTGTTGGTTTTATTGCTATTCAAGACCTTTAATTTAAGTCAAAGTAGAAGTCTCTAGGCCCTTTAAGAATATCCCCTATTGTCCCTGTCGGTGACCCTTATTAAGCTTCAGCTATTCTTCTGTCCTCCTATTTTTCATTTTTTTTGTTGTTTTATCACAGCTCTGGTACAGTGTACGCGTTAGCATTGTAGGTATTATCATCCTTGCGACTTTTATTATTTTCTTCACTGGTTTTATTGCAATGCTATGCATTTTTTTCTGTCTAAACATAAGCAGTAACAAACGAAAATGCTCAGATTTTTTCGTGATTCGATCCTATTTGGAGAATTTAGTGTTTCACTTTATCACATTGTTACTGTTTCTTGTGGTGTTTGCAGAGCATATTTAAATATGGGAGAAGTTTAAAGAATTTAAGAAACAAGGATTACTTGGAAATTAGAGATTTTTGATAAACTAAAATAATCTATGAAAAATTTAATTTAAAAACATTTAAAA